CTGCTGGTGCTGCTGGTGGTGCTGCTGCTGCTGCTGCTGCTGCTGCTGCTGCTGCTGCTGCTGCTGGTAGTGCCTGAAGCTGGTTGCTGCTGAATGGAGTCTGAAGAAGGAGATCTCGAGCAGCAGCGAGAGCAGCAGCACGAGGACATAAAGTGCTGCCTCGCAGCAGACACAAACGAAAAGGAGACAGAAGATTGGCAAAGCAAAAATGAAGTGGCTGTCTCCTTTGAAGACACGGCCTGCTGCCCACAGCAGCCGCCCCTTTCTGCTGCGGCCGCGGAAGCGCTGCTGCTGCTGCTCCAGCGCAGCAGCAACAGCGCGCTGCGCAGCAACTTGCCGCTGCAGCGGCGACAGCCGCAGGTCTTGCTGCACTCGAAACGCCACCGACAGCAAGTCCACGCTGCCTGCGTTTGCTGCTGCGTCTGCTGCCAGCGCCGTTGCTGCTGCTGCTGCTGCTGCTACGCTCTGCGCAGTCACGCTCGACGCCGGCGCCCCCACCGGCGCGCTCCTGCTGCTGCTGCTGCTGCTGCTGCTGCTGCTGCTGCTGCTGTTCTCCTCCGAGGTCTCCCGGCAGTCCTCGAAGGCCGCGGGGGAACTGCTGCTCCCGCTGCTGCTCCCGCTGCTGCTGCTGCTGCTGCTGCTGTAAGGAGACACTTCCCCTGAACTTGAGAGGGCCCCGCCTGGATCCTCTGCTGCAGGGGAGAGTCCCTTAGAGGACACTTGGCCAGCAGCAGCAGTTTGCTGCTCCCTACTCAAGGAAATGCTGCCGCTGCTGCTGCTGCTGCTGCTGCTGTTATTGTTGTTGCTCCTGCTGTTGGTGTTATTGGTGCTGCTGCTGCTGGGGGTGCTGCTGCTCGCAGCCTCAGCTGCAGTGTTGGGCATGCCATTTGCCCCGTCTTTGTCAGCTTCTGGCAGCAGCAGCTGCAAAGAAGGCGCAGCAGCAGCAGCTGCTGGAGCAGCAGCAGCTGCTGCTGCTTCGGGCAATCCAGGTGCCGAGGCTTTGCGGTCTCCAGAGGCAGCTGCTGCGTGACCCTTACGCCGAGCCATTTGCTGCTGCTGCTGCTGCTGCTGCTGCTGCTTCCTTTGTCGCTAGTATTTATCTGTGTAATGCCAGTGGCGCTGCTGCTGCTGCTCCCGTTGCTGCTTCCGCTGCTGCTGCTGCTGCTGCTTCCGGCGTCGCCTTTGCGGCTGAGGAGACGGCGATAGCAGCGCGGCGCGCAGCAGCATCAGCAGCAGCTGCTGCTGAAGTAGCTCGCGCTGCAGTGTTCCCTGTTGCTGTTGCTGTTGCTGCTGCTGTTGCTCCTGCTGCTGCTGCTGCTGCTTCCCAGATCTACAAACCAGGAGTCCTGAAGGGCTGATGCCTCTAGAGGGCCCCACAAGCCAAGTATGTGACGTGGCCCCCGTTTGACAGAGTAGAGTTGCTGCCAATGATGCTGCGGCGGTTGCTGCTGCTGCTGCTGCTGCTGCTGCTGCGGCTGCTCCTGCTGCTGCTGCTGCTGCGGTTTCTGCTGCTGCTGCGGCAGATGCTGTTGTTGTTGTTGCTGCTGTTGCTGCTGCGGCTGTTGTTGCTGCTGCTGCGGCTGCTCCTGCGGCTACTGCTGCGGCTGCTGCTGCGGCTGCTGCTGCTGCTGCTGCTGGCAACGGTGTCCGTTCTAAGGGCTTCTTGAGCCGCTTGCTCTGGTGAGTTGTCGAAGCTGTGCTGCAGCAGGTGCAAACGCTTTTGCTGCTGATGCTGCCGTTGCTGCTGCTGCTGCCGCTGCTGCTGCTGCTGCTGCCGCCGCTGCTGCTGCTGCTTCCGTAAGGTTGATAACAAACTGCCTACGGTAGTTGTCTTGACAGATCTGCGAGGAGAAAAGACAAAAAAGAAGCACACTAAAAAAAACAGCTGCTTTGGCTCAGCGGCAGCAGCAACAGCAGCAGCAGCAGCAGCGGCAGCAGCAGCGACCATTCCCGCAGCAGCTGTCGCTGCTGCCGCTGCTGCTGCAGGAGCGCTTTTGCTGCTGCTGCTGCTGCTGCTGCTGCGGGCTTTGCAATGCTTTACCGCTGATGGCTTCTGCGATGCTTTCACATGCTTATTCCTCTCCAGGAAGGCAGCAGCAGCAGCAGCTGCAGCAGCAGCAGCACCAGCAGCAGGAGGGGCCCCTGGTGTCTGGCGTTCGGCTGCGGACAGTGTAGTCGGCGCCCGAGGGTCTCGGCGGCAGCAGAGCGGTGAAAACGAAAACAAAAGGAGTAAAATCTCATTTAAACTTTTATTTTAAATTAATTTGATGAAATTAACTGCAAAGAATATAATTTAAATAAATACCAGCTCCAAATCAAGGCCGGGGGGGCCGGAGGCGCGCGGGCGGCGAGTGGCGGCGCCGGTGGCGACACCTTGAGGTGTACGTACACCGGGCGATTTGGAGCCGTTTTTCTTTGAATTTTTAACTTAAAAAAACAATTAAACCTTATAATATTATATTTTCAAAGACGGAGTGCTGGAGAGGGTTTAATCCAGTGTTTTGCTGCGGTGTACGGCCGCCGTCGCTCGCTGCGACCGCTGGCCTCTTTCCCTCTTTGTCTTTCCGCTTTCCCTGAAATAATACCATTTCCTTCTATTTTCTTTTCATTTTCTCCCTGCTGCTGCTGCTGGGGCCCAGCAGCTCCCTAGTGCACCTTCGGCTGCTGCTGCTTTCTCGTTTTCTCCCCTTTGCCCCCCTGCAGCTGCAGCAGAAGCTCCTTTTTTCCCCAAAAGGGGCCTAAGGGGGCCCCCAGAGACCATGAAGACCCAGGGGCCCCCAGGATGACGGCCACGTTGAAAGGGTCCTCTTCCGGGGGCCACTCAGGGGGCCCCGGGGGGCCCCCGGGGCCTCGGGGGCCCCCTGCGCCCATTGGGGCCCCCGGAGTCCCTTCTTTTAGACCCCTTGGAAACAGTCTGAAGAGAGAAGGGCCCCCAGAGTATGGGGGCCCCCACCCCTTTGCAGGGATGGACCTAAGGGGCCCCCAGGGTCCCCTGGGGCCCCGGGAGCCTCGGGGGCCCCCACCTAGACATGAGGGCCAGCGCAGCCTGCAGCAAACTGGCCAGGGGGACCCCAGCCCTGAGGGCCCTGCAGGGCTGGGGCCCCCAGGGCCTCTTGGGGCGGGCTGGCTGGGGGGCCCCCCTGCGGGCGCCTCTGGGGGCCCTCCAGAGGGGCCCCTAGGGGCCCCTCGAGGGTTTTATCAGAGTCATAGGGGTCCCCTTGAGGGTCCTGAGGAGCCCCTAGGGCACAAGGGGGGCCCTTTGTTTCATAGCCCCGCCAGGGGGCCCTCTGAAGGCCCACCCACTTCTACAGAGGAGTCCCGAAGGGGCCCCGTAAGTTGTTCCTCTAGAGGCCCCCACGGGGACCCCCTTGGGGGCCTCCAAGGGGGCCCCCTGGGGGGCCCCGACGGGCAAGGTTTTGTTTTGAAAGAGGACCAAATGCTGCAGCTAACTGTGAAGCAGATGTTGATGCTGCTGCCAGCTGCAACAGCAGCAGCAGTACACGAAGCTCTGAAGCGTTTGCTGCTGCTTCCAGAGTCCCAAGCAGCAGCTGCGGCGGCCCTCGAAAGGGCCTGCTGCTGCTGCTGCCGCTGCTGCAGCAAGAATAGCAGCAGCAAAGGAGCTGAACAGCAGCGCCGCGGTGGCCCTGCGCCCCACACAGAGCTTCTGTGGCAGCAACACCAGGGGCCCCCGGGGCCCCCGGGGGCGCCTGAGGGGCCCCCAAACCCTCACAGCCTTGGCTGTCTCCAGGGGCCCCCGAGGCTTCAGCAGCAGCAGGGGGCCCCGCAGGCCGAGGGCCTCAAGGAGCAACAAACTCACCAACGCCCCAAAGGTCCATGGGGGCCCCAGGGGCCCCCGGGGCCCCAGGGGCCCCAGGGACCCCGGGGGCCCCTGGGGCCCCGAGGGGTCCATTTTGAGGAGGCGCCCCAAGGGGCCCCCGGAGCCCCCTTTGCCGAGGGGCCTCAAGGGCCCCAATCTGCGCTGGGGCCCCAAGGGACCCGATTACCCCAGGGGCCCCGGGGGCGCCGGGGGCCCCTGGGGCCCCAGGGGCCCCGGGGGCGCCGGGGGCCCCTGGGGCCCCAGGGGCCCCAGGGGCCCCCAATAGCGCAGTCCGGGGGCCCCCCCTTTGGGCGGGGGCCCCAGACCCGGCCGAGGCCCTGTGGCCCGAAGAGGGGCCTGGGGGCTGATGGGCCCCAGGAGGCCCCAAAAGCCCACAGCCCTGAAGCTTACAAAGCCCCTCAGGGGCCCCAAAGAGGGCCCCAGGGGCCCCCAAGTGTGCCCCAGGGGCCCCCAAATGTGGGCCCTAGCTCGCAGCAGGTCTCGCGAGCTGGGGGCCCCCAAGAGGGGCCCCCTACTGCTGCTCGCCGCAGTGAAAGTGGCCCAGAAATGGGCGCTGCGTCGATAGCCCATCAGATGGGGGCCCCCCATAGGGGCCCTTCTTATGAGGGTCCCCAAGGGTCCCCCCGGGGGGCCCCCAGAGGGGCCCCTCTGGGGCCTGCTGATGGCTGGCAGGTATTTGAGTGGCCGCTGCAGCAGCAGGGACAAAGAGGGCCCCACCCTCGAGAAGCCGAGCAGCAGAAATGCGAGCAAGTTGTGCCGCTGCCCCAGCAGCAGCAGCAGCAGCAGCAGCAGCAAAGACGCCAGCCTCCAGAGATGCAGCAGCAAAAGAAAAAGGAACAGCAGCAACAGCAGCAACAGCAGCGACAGCAACATCAGCAGCAGCAGCAGAAGCAGAAGCAAGAGCAACAACCGCAGCAAGAGCAGCAGCAGAAGCAGCAGCAGCAAACAGTGCTGCTTAGCTCTCTTCCAAAAGAGCCTCAGCTGCTGCAGCCACAAAGGGCCCCTCTACCCCCGAGGCGCCGACCAGCAGACCCGGGGGCCCCTGGGGGCCCCCCAATGCAGAGAGACACAACTGCTGCAAGCAGCAGTTGGGTTTCTGAGGAAGAGTCACTGCAGCAGCAGTTACTGCAGCAGCAGCTACTGCAGCAACACTTGCTGCAGCAGCAGTTGCAGGAACAGCAACCGCTGCAGCACCAGCAGCCACTGCAGCAGCAGCAGTTGCTGCAGCAGCAGCTGCTGCAACCGCAAAAGCTGCAACAGCAGTTGCAGGAACAGCAACAGCTGCAGCAGCAGCGACTGCAGCAGCAGAAGCTGCTGCAGCTGCTACAGCAAGAGCAGCTGCAGCAACACTTTCAGCAGCAGCAGCTGGGCTCTCGAGAGCAGGCTCTGTTGATGCCACGTGAAGCAGCAGCAGCAGCAACAGCAGCAGCAACAGCAGCAGCAACAGACGAAGCAGTCTCCAGCGAAGATGCTGCAGATACAAATCGAAGCAGCAGCACTGAAGATGAGGGAAGCTCTTTAGCAGCTGCCCTGCAGGCAAAAGCGCAGAAGCAGCGGCAGCAGTGGCAGCAGCAGCAGCAGTGGCAGCAGCAGCAGCAGCAGCAGTGGCAGCAGCAGCAGCAGCAACAGCAACAGCAACAACAAAAGCAGCAGCAGCAGCAGCTATTAAGAAGCGCTGCTGTGGATGAAAGCAACTTCGTGTCTCCTTGTGAGACTGCTGGGGGCCCCAGGAGCCCCGAGGGGCCGCAGCTGGGGGGCCCCCATAAGAGCAGCGCTGCAGCTGTGCTGCAGGGGCCCCCGCAGCAGCAGCCATCCACGACGGTGCAGCAGCAGCAGCAGCAGCAACAGCAAGAGGAGGGGCCTTACGAAGCGAAGCTGCGTTCCTATGAAAGTGAGTCGGATCATCCACACTGGTGCGGCAGCAGCAGCAGCAGCAGCAGCAGCAACAGCAGCGCGCGCAACTCGCTGTCGCTGCCGCCGCAGGAGCAGCAAATCGTGCCGACGATAGCCAAGATGCTGCAGCAGCGGGGCATTCTTAGAGAGGCCCCTTGGGTGTCCTCTTCCTTTCCAGCTGCTGCTGCAGCCAGCACCAGCCTATACAGCAGCAGTAGCAGCGGCAGCGGCAGCAGCGGCAGCAGCAGCAGGATGAGTCTGTCTACAGACTTGGGGCCTGGGTCTCAGGAGTTCTGCAGCATCGACGACGAGAACACCCTGGGCTTCTCTCTGAATGGTAAGGGGCCCCCAGCAGCAGCAGCAGCAGCAGCAGCAGCAGCAGCGTCTCAGGGGGCCCCCGGCGGGGCCCCCACGGCGAGGGGCCCCTCAAGGTTCCTGCGGCGGCGCCCAGAAAGAGTTGTGCTGCAGCGCAGCAGCAAAGCAGAACTTCCGGACTTCTCTTATGTGACAAGTGTCGTAAGGAAAGAGTGCTGGCGACGGGCTAAAACGCAGCAGCAGCAGCAACAGCAGCAGCAGCAGCAGCAGGGGAAGCCGTGCACGCAGCGACACAATATGGAGCAGCAAACGCAGCGCCAAGTACGACCACAGCAGCAGATGCAGCAAGCCAAACGGCAACAGCAGCAACGGCAGCAGCAGCAGCAGCAAAAGCCGCAGCAGCAACGAGAGCAGCAGAAACAACCGCAAGAACCACAGAACCACTATCAGGAGCAGCAGCAGCAAATGCAGGAACAACAGAAGCAGCAGCAGCAGCAGCAGCAGCAGATTCCAGCCAGGGCGGCGCTAATGCGGGCGCAAGCCGCACGGCTACTGTACGGAAAAGGCCCCCAAACCTAAACCCTAAACCCTAATCCCTAAACCCTAAGCTCTAAATTCTGATTTGTAGGCGCTAGCTTGGTTTGTGTGTATCAAAAGATGCCTTCCGCCTGCTGCTGCTGCTGATGGAACTGTGGCTGCTGCTGCTGTGCTTGCTGCTGTTCTGTTTGTTGCTGCTGCAGCGCTGGGAGCCAGCAGAAAATGCAGCAGCGCGTGGCCGAGAGGCTCAGGGGCGGCTCCTTGCTGCAGCAGCAAGAAGTGAACAGGAGGGCCATCGTCGCTGCTGCTGCTGCTGCTACTGCTGCTGCTGCTGCTGAGGCACGGACGCTTCCCGAAGACCGCATACGTCCCAGCTCTGGCGCTGCAGACAAGCAGCAACAGCCACAGCAGCAGCCTCA